CTCTCTCTGGATGACCTGGAGCAAGCCGCTCATTACCGCCCTGAATTCTCCACCAGAGGGTGTCGGGCCGCCCCCTCTGAACCTGCCATGTCTGCAGGAGCGGGACCTGGAGCTGAGCCCGGGAGACGTCTTTCCTGTGTGAGTACGGCACAAGGTGGGGGTGGGGTGTCCCCCAGCAGGAGCCCCTGGCCTGCTCCGCGGGGAGCTCTCTGGGAAGGACCTGGTGCTCTTACCTGCTGCATGGAGCAGACCTCTCCGCGCTCCTGTATCTCCTGGTTGCGCTCCAAGCTCTGCGCCTACCAGGGCTGCAAACCAGTGCAGACCCCTGAGCTTGGGGACATGGAGCACATCCCTTGCCTTTTAGTTTCTCTAGAAAATGGGGATACTGATGGGCCCCGCATGGTTGTCCTGAAGCTGAGACAAATCGGAAGAAGCAGTGACGGCAGGGCCGGCCCCCACCCCCAGCGCCATGGGGACAAGATGTGGCTGTGGGTCCCGCCCCGTGGCCCCCCTGGACTTCTACTGGTTTCCTGGTTCGGATTCTCCAGACCCAGGAACTCTGGGAGAGAGACCGCACCTGGCGGAGGCTCCCCGCGGCCATCCCCCTCCTGCCCTGGGACAGGATGTTCAGCGCCCGCAGCTGCCCTCCCACCCCCTTGTTCCTGGCCGCTGTTGACGCACCTGCGACAGTGGGTGGGCACCGAAGTGGGGCATGCTCCTTCCGGGGGCCTCCCCTTCCCGCCCTCCCCTGGTGCTGGAGGCAGGACTGCGCCTGCCGGGACCAGGAGGGCTGGGGAGCCACAGACCAAGGCTGGGAAGCCCCGCCGGGTGGAAAGACAGCCCTGGTGCCGAGACCGCTGCCCAGGCGCTGAGGCCGGTGGCCGGGGCCTTCAGAAGAGGACCTCGGGCAGCGTTGGCGGAGCCACTAGGCCCCTCTGCCCCCCGCCCTTCACTGTGGGGGAGCGCCACCACTGGCACCTGCAGCCCTGGCCAGACACTGCTAATGCCTTGACCTTGGACTTCCTGCAAAAAACTACCTTTCCCTCGTATATGGACGACCCTAAGGGACTGCTCCAGAGGGCAGACGGGCAGGAAAACCGCCTTAGGTTTGGATGGGCACTGAGAAGACGGCCACTTCCACCTGACTTGAGCCCTCCTGCTCCTGGGCCATCCTTTTGGTAGCGTGGTGCCTCCCGAGGGGGTTCCTCTGCCGCTCTGCCAGCCAGCGACCAAGTGCCCCACGGCTTCAGTGTGTTCCGTGCAGAGCTCCCGCAGTCCCCGGGCACTGAGACCAGCACGTAGGAGCTGTCGCTCCCCAGGGACGGGAAAGGCCCCTCCCAGGGCCGCCTCCCCCAGCTCCGGGCTCTGGCAGCGCTCCCAGGCTCCTGCCTTCCTCCCAGCACTTGTCAAAATACTTCTTTCCCAACAGAATCAGGTCCTGGGATGAGTCCACGGCCCGCTGTTAGGTTCATCCAAGCGCCTCGGCTCTGGTGACCTGCTCTGTGGGACCCGAGGGCCAGCCTCCGGTCCCTTTGATCTCTAAGCAGAGAGCAGAATGCAGGGAACCTGAGACCTCCGCCCGTGGAGGGAAGCTGCGGGGCCCAGTTTGGAGGCCCCAAGCAGAGCGGGGGTCAGGGAGCAGATCAGAGGACACGGGTCTGGAAGGGCCCTGAGTGGCAGGCGGGAGGGCAGGACCTTGGCTGGGTGGCACAGGGCAAGCCCAGGCCCCAGAGACCTTGGGAAGTGAAGCTGGAGGAGGACCCGTGGAAGAGTCCTGGAGACCCCTGGCGGGAGCTCGGCCTCCACTGGGCTCAGGGCGGATGGGGGCTGGGGTCGGTGCCAGGAAAGAGGGCGGTTGAAGTGGAGCTGGCAGGAGCGGGAGGGGCTCACCAGGCTGGCCTGGACCCGGGAGGCTGGCCCAGGGACCCAGCGGGTCCTCCCTGACGTCCAAGGCCTCCTGGGAAGGCAGATGCGCCCTGGTCACCAGCAGAAGGTGGCCCCGTCTCTGGGAGGGACTGTAACCCTGTGTGAGGCGGGGACGGGGCTGGGGGGTCCGCCTCCGGAGGAGGCAACTAGAGCTGGAAATGAAAACTGTGCCCCCAACCCCAGGCAGGATGTCCCCGGTGACTTGCGGCAGATGTCGGCGCAGCCACGTGGGGGGAGCCGACAGACTCCTCGGGAAGCTCCAGGCAGAGCGCGAGGCTCGAGCGAAGGCGTTTCCAGGGCGCGCGGCGGGGGCGCGGCCCGGGGTCTCCACCCCTGGACTCTCAGGGCCAGACGCCACCTCCGCGCTCTCCGGCCCGGCCCTTCCCCTCCCCGTCGCCGCCGCCCGCTGCCCGGCTGTTTCCTGCTCCGCTGAGGCTGTGACCCCGGAGAACACGGCCACCCGCCCGAAATAGCACGCGCACGTTAATGGACCGGGCAGTGACGCACGCGGGCGGTTTCCAGGCATCCGAAGGTGTCACGCAGAGCTCAGGGTCCCCAGGGGCCACTGGTGCCTTGTTCCTCTCTGGAGGAAGCTGGAGGCCCCCAAATGTCACCACCTGTGTCACAGCGCATTTCCATCCAGCACCCGCTGTGGCGCTCGGGCTGGTGGCTGGAGGAACAGCACCTGACTGTCCAGGGCTGTCCTACCAGGGGCACGTCCTGCCCAGGGCTTTGGCACGCCCCGTTCCTGTTTGTGCTCTAGTCTGGCACTGGGGCTCCCACACAGGCTCAAGGTGCCTTGGCTTTGGGGTCCTCCACTCAGATGTAGGACTGCTCCCGTTTCTAGGAAGAAGGAGAACGTTCATCCAGAGAAGCTGAGCTTGGATAGTTAAGGAGGAAAACTGCCATCAGGGAGAGTGACGGGGGACCCAGAGGACCTGTGGCCACTCACGGGCAGCAGGGCCAGCCTCTGGTCTGCACCTTTCCCCCAGGGCTGGTTTCCAGGACTTGGAGGAACAAGGACTTAGGGATCAGGAAGCCGCCCCCTCCCTGGTGGCACCCTGCACTGTGGAGTCCCAGTGGCTTGGATGCTGCCCACATGGCCTTGGCCCACTCCTCACTCTCTACTGGTGGTTGCCGAGTCATGAGGACTGGACGGAACAGGGCGGCTCAGGGTCAGCATTGAAGACAAGGCCCCGGAGCCACCCGCCTGGGCCCATTCCTGCTTCTGCCACTTTCTGGCTGTGTGGCTTTGGGCAGGCAACTGTCCCTCTCTGTGCCTCCTTTTCTCACCTGTAAAATGGGGATGGTAGCAGCTGCCACATCACAGAGCTGTTGTCCCAGCAGGGACTTTCCACAGTGCTTGGCACACAGTCAGCACCAGGCACAAAGCATGTAACCACCACAGTGGGCACACAGTAGGTGCTCAATAAACTGTAGCAAGGATGGGGGGCGCTGCCTTCTTGCTGGCTGTGAGGCCTCTGGGCTGGGAATTCTCAGTCTGGGCTGCGCATTAGATGGTGTGAGGGTTTTTTCCTAAGTGCCAGCACTGGGGACCCACAGAGCAGGGGTCCTTAATCAGCCTGCACAGGCCCGGCATGGAAGGATCCTTGGATAGGCGCCCCCCCCCCCGGGTGATACTAACGAGCAGCCAGGGCCCAGAACCTCGGTAGCAAACAACTGAGCCTGAGCCGCTGGCTTTAAAGGAGGGATTGTGAGGAGGTGGGTCAGGGTGGCCTTTCCTACGTGGTGACATTTGAGCTGAGAGCTGAATGTTGGGAAGGAGGGAATCAGGAGAAGACCTGGGTAGAGGGGGTTTCAGACAGTGAGCAGAGGGGGTGCAAAGGCCCTGAGGCAGTCATGAGCTTGGCCTATGGGAAGAAGAGCCAGAAGTCCAGGGTGGCAGGGAGGTCCTTGTGCCAGAAGATGGCCTTACCCAACCCTGGATGGCAGGAACGGACACTGAGTCCCCTCCAGCCAGAGGTACAGAATTAGCCTTTGGAACGTCAGAGGGCAGCTGCGGACACCACCCCTCATGTCCACTGCTAGGAAACTGGGAATTCCTGATCCGGGCTCAGCTTAGCCGCCCGATCTGTGGCGAGGCCTGGGCAAGGGTGGGGGCCCAGGTGCTTCTGTCCCCAGGTGCAATCACCTGGAGCAGGAGCTCGGAGGGCGGCGACTGCGGCTCTGTGTGCACGTCCTCCCGGGAGCGGCGTCCGTCCTGCCGGCGGCCCACTCTGCTGTGCTTTCCACCCCGACTGTGTGTCTGTCTGTCTGTCTGTCCTGCACTGTGTGTGTCTGTCAGCCACACAGGACCCCATGGCTGTGCCGGGTCTGGGTGGGGCACACACTGTGCCCACGTGGAGGCGGCAGCGTGGCCCTGTCCCCAGCAGGCTCAGCCCCGCTCTGCGCCGCGGCTCCCCTGGGGTCCCGTGGCTGCGGGCCCCAGTCCTGGGCACGGCACTGCCCGCCGTGGCGGTGGCCCGGTGGCCGGCTCTCGTGAGGAGTGCGTCTGGGCAGCTCCTTTGTCTGGACGGTCCCCTGGCTGCCCCCAGTCCCTGTCATCCAGGCCCTTCCTCCAGCTGCGTCCTGGAGCCTGGCTGGAGCAGGAGGGACGGCGGCCTGGCCTGGGGCCCGTGGGTGGACACCCCGCGGAGCACCAGCCCCGAGCTGTGCAGCCCCCCACCCCCCTCCCGATGTCAGGAAGGGAGGCTCGGCCAGGTGGCACGTGGCCAGCGAGGTCAGGTCAGGGCCCAGAGGGTGTGACCTCTGGGAGCTGCTCTGGTTCCCAGCGGGGTTGGTGACAGGTGTCCATGGCAACACGACCCAAGCCAGGCCTGAAGGCCTCCCTCATGGGCACTTGTCCAGCGTGAACCAAGCTTTTACCCAAGGTCTGGCCTTGAACTTCAGCTAACATCGGTATCAGCCGCTCTCACGGCCAATCACCTGCGCTTCCTGGGACCACGGAGACTGGCTGCTCCCACCTGCTCCTCCCGCCAGCCTCCCTGAGCTCCACCCCAGGGCCTTTGCATGTGCTGTTCCCCATTCCCACACACCCCTTCTCCTGCTCTTCCCCTGGCTAACTCTTTCTTGGTACCTAGAGCCTGGCTTGGATGTCACCTCCCCAGAAAGGCCTGTCTTACTCAGTCCCTTGCCTCAGTCACTTGTCACATTGTGCTTCAGAGCACATATGACCATTATGTCGTTTGTCATGTTTACCCTGTCTTCCCTTCTGGAATATAAGCTCCATGAGGGCAGGGCCCTGGCCCGTCTTATTTCGCCTCTTCACTTCAGGATCAGGGGCGGCATGTAGTATGAGCTCAGTAAGTGCTTAGCAGCAGTTCAACGCTTTTATCGAGCACTGCACACGTGTCAGGTACTGAGCATCATCTCACTGCACACTCACAGTGACCCAGAGCCCAGGGGACTGCTGTTGGAATGTTGTGGAGGAAGGACAGAAACGTTCGGGAGGGAGGGTAGGAACCTGCCTGCGGCCACGGCTGGTAAGTGGGGGAATCGGGGTCTTACCGCTGTGTCCCCTGGAGCCGTAGGCGGTGCTCTGCTGCGTCCTGAAGCAGGAGAACAAGAGGCTCAGACCTGGGGACAGAGGGCAGCTGTATGGGTCTCCCGCTGCAGCAAAACAGCTCCCGGAGCCGGTGACCTACAACAGCTCCACTGAGCGGCCTCGGTCCTTTGCGCTTGGGCCAGGCCCTGCACCTGGGCACGGGGGGCGCTGGCTGGACCGGGCTCAGCGCCAGGAGAGGTGTGTGGCGGCGGCTCTCCGACTGGCCCTCTGCTCTCTAGAGAGGCCCCGCGCCTTTCATACGTGCCCTGGAAGCCCCTTCTGGGCTGAGCCGAGGTCCCCTGCTCCCTTCTGGGGACATCCTTGGACACTTTTCCTGTGACTGAAGGATGAGACCCTCCGGAGGAGTCCAGTGTGTCCCGGTGTGTCCACCTCGTGCTCTGGCTGACGTCGGTCAACGGTGCGCTGCAGGCGTCCCAGCTCCTGTCTCAGGACGGAGCCAGGCACAGAGCGCAGGCCCTCTGGGTGGAGGAGGGGGTGGCGAACTCACGGAGCACAGGCCAC